TCTTTCACAGTTAGAATAAGAAGTTACACAAAAAAACTTTCACGGTGAAAAATCACCATCGAATGCACATTAAATATGTTTTTTTTACTTGCCTAACTCAACAGAAACTACACATATTTTGTTCAAAATACACAGACTCAATAAGTGAAGATCCAACAGACTTGGGTGCCCCTGGTCCTTCAGGAGTGAATCCAGAACAGTGCGGTAAATACTTGTGCTCCCTGTACCATACGCACAGATACCTACCTCAGAACGCAACGCACAAGAGTAGGGTTATCGTATTTCTAACCTAGCTCTCCCAAACTCATGTATAGTGTATGTGAATTTCAACTAGGCAGAAAAACAGCAAAAGATCCGCATCACAAATTCTTTAGAGGACCTACTCATACAAATTGTGGCAATGTCTGGGGTTGCTGGGTGCATGGCGACTCTTTTTCACCGAAATCATCAGATCAGCTGTGCATAAATAATAGAGTGGCACAAGTCATAGGTCTGAGGTCTCTGTAAGGAATGACCTACCATAATTCAAAAGTGCTGACAAATGCAGCATCTCACAGGTGAGATTTTGAATGTGGAAAAAGATGACACGTTTAGGAAGACTTGCTTTTTTTTTTTTTTAAATAAAAAACATCAGTGATATTCTACCTTTTTAAAATAGATTGTGTTTAGTGCATTCATCTAGAAGGGGAAGTCTTGCATTTCAGTTCCTATTCTCAGGCTACTTCTACATTTTACACAAATCAATTAACGAATCCCGAGTTCCAGTAATAACAACTAAATCCTAAATTTCTCCTAACCTGATCCAGTACTCTAACCAGCAGACTTCAGTATCTTAGCGACTACTTGTGCTATTGTTACTGCACACTGGAAGAGCTTCAGACCGAGAGGGGTGTCCACTGCTAGGAGAGTTCTTTGGTTGTTAGGATACGTTTTGGTGAGGTCGAGACAGATCTGAACTCCCTCAGAAAGGAGGAAGTTGCAATCATGACTTCCACTCTTTAGGTAAGTATTATGAATGCTAAGCTACAATATCAAAGGAAGGACCAACGACTGCCAAGATATTCCCCTACAAGTCACCCTATTTTGTTAAAAGCCTTAACCAGTCAGAACTACACTGGCATGCTCTGAGAGTGTCCTGTAATTTGGGATCTTGACTTTGGGATCCCTTGACTTCACACTGCTTCTTTTAACTTGTCGCTCTCGGCCTGGCTGAAGCATGAGCAGCATGCTATTTGTGCTAGGAGAATACTGACCACATGCAGAAATTTCTAGTCAAAACAGCGGGCAGGTAGAGAGCTTATGTGCCTCCAAGATTAGGCAGCAACAGAGAAGGATGTGAGTAGTGGTAGAAGGCGTGAGGAGGTTTGGATTGCAGTACTGGATAACACACCTTTGTCCTGCATCATGTCCTCAAATCCCTTTTTTGCTTTAGCTCTCTCTGAGTGCCTGGGAACATGGATGTAGAACTTTCTGTGTCCTGTGCAAAAAAGAACTTCTAATTGAAGCCCAAACATGAGATTAAGGACATCTTTTGCCAAGAAGAATTGCTACAACAGGAAGGTATTTAAATAAGATATGTTGTAGGGCTTTGAGAAACCCAGAGAGACTTAAGACCAAATTCTGATCTCAATTATACCTAAGTAAAGGACTAAATTCTCATCTCAGTTATAGCCATGAAAATCCAGAGACTCTACTGATGTCAGTGGAATTGCATCAAGTATAAAACTATACTTTACTTTGGTGCCCCTGGGATCAGAATCTCTTTCCTATTCTGTATATGAAATATGTTTTGTGAAAACACAGAAAAAATAACTGTGATTTTGCATACTTATAGTCCAAGAGAACAAAGAATGTTAGTTCTAGGCAATCTAAATACGGGGTCAGACTGCAATTTGGGTCTTCCCAAATGTACCTTATGTCTCAAATTCATTGGAAGAAAAAAAATCCATAAAACAAAAAACCTGCAAAGGTTTACAGCTGAATGAAAGTCTAGAAAACTTCCACAGAAAATATTATTTCCTTTGTAGCATGTATCACTACTTTCTGCAAGGTAGGATCTTCTAGCGTACAGCCTTTGGGGAGATTTAGCATAAAACAATGTAACATTCATCTTAACGTGCAGTTTTAACTAGTTTCTAGTTAAAAACTAGAACATTTATAAAGAGAAAAAGATGATCCACTCGACCTAATGCGGAATATAAGCCTATACGTTTGATATGTCAATACAGACGATTAAAATACTCAATGTAGTGCTCTGTTACCAAATGCCTCGCATTTCTTTTGCCAATCAGGGAAGAAACAATACTATGAGAACTATTAAATTAATGATGTTATTCAGGATTTTGATATACTGAAAGTATAAGTACTGCTAAGTCGTACTCTCTGTTTTACAGCAGCAGTGCAGGATAGCCGAGAAAGAACACTGAATAATACATCGGTATTCTCTTTTGCCTTTTATGTGAGCCTATAAAAGCATTTTCAATCCAAATTATTATTAAACATCTTTTAAGATTACTCGTAGCTTCAGGAATTAAGTTTAAAACCTTTATGCTTACAAATCATAATCTATTTAATACCACACAAGCGATCAGATTGAACCTTTGGTTTTCTACTCAAAGGGAAGCTGATGTAACACATACTAATCTTCTCCTTTCTCTGCATTTACTCTCCAAGACATGACGGGCAAAAAGGATCATCCAGTGTGGACTCAGCCCTACAAATTCTTATGCATATATTTAACTTCATTAAAGCTAAACATACAACATTTCATCAAAATTCTGGTCCGAAAGGAGTGTCAGGATCCTAGCGGCTGCTAAGAGAACTGCGCTGATCCAAACGTGACAAACATTTTACAGTGAAAGAGGCAGCATCTAAGCACCTGGACAACGCAGTTTCTAGTTTCACTCTACAGCTTTGTAGTTTATGTTGTACAAGAAAATTTCATCATGGTACAGCTGACAAAAAAGGCTACTGCTCTCAATCTTCTTCCTTTTCCTAGCAGCAACCTGGAGAAACTACTTTTAATTCCCCAAATGCAAATATCAAAATACTATACTTAAGGGACAGAATTCTTTAAAGACAGCACATACTAAAACACAAATGTGGAAAGTAGTATCTTATCAAATCAATAGCTTAAATAACTATAAGAAGCCAGATAAAACTGAAATGGTTTTAAAAGACAATAAATTAATGTTAAGATCCTAAGTCCTGGGGCATTGAAAGTCAGACTTTGGTATGCTTGATTGTAAGGGCCAATACTTGCAAACTCAGGTTCCTAAACCCATATGCAAACAGAAAAGTCCCTGTCTTCAAGGGTGCTAACATCAAAAAAACGTCCAGGCCCGATCAAAAAAACCTGTTCAGTGCTTTTAGTAACTGAAATACGGATGCATCATGTATTTTCAAGGAATGTTTATGTCCTCTCTAATATTTCTGTGTTATTACTTCCTTTTAGTCTAAAATCAAAGGCACAATTCATTTTCAGTAGTAGCCCAATTTCAGGGACGATTCAGCTAGTGAAGTGCCATCTCCAAAATGAACTTTTGTGGGATAAACGGCACTAACTCGTTTTATATACAGTATATTTTTGTCTCAGCATTTCCAGTATAGAAGCAGAAACCGATGCTTCCCATTTAATTTGTCACCCAACTTCTCACTTACTCCATCTGAAAAGCATGCATGGTGTGTGCATAGGGTGGGAGGGGGTTAAATACATTAGGAGGGGAAAAATGCCTGGAATATAGCAAATCTTCCTATTAGGGGTGCTGCATAAACTCTACCAACAGGCGAAATCAGCAAAAATCTCTGCATTAAATAAGCATAGTACCTTCTGGCAAAGATAATCATAGTAAAGACTACACGAAACTCAAATGCAAACTGAGTAGATTGTACTTGGAGGACAAACTGTTTATCAGATGCTGCAGAAAGCAGAAGGAACCAGATTCTCAGTTCCTGCAAAACTGAAATAACCACACTAAAGCTATGGAGTTATGACACGGAGCAGCCATTATGCTTTTACACTGACGTATACA